TCTAGCTGTCCGGTTATAGTTAACTTTTTTAGATTTAATTACTAGTTTTAAATTCGAATCTGTGATAATTTAGTTATTTTACCGCCCTTCGTTGACAGGTTTTTACAATTTACCCTTAGTTACTATGTATACAATTAATTGTTCTCGTCACGATATGGCTGAAATATTGCCGATGTGACGATAAAGTGTAACTCTAGCTGTCCGAGGTTCCACACAGACGCCAAGTGTCTGCAATGGCAACATGCAGGTCCAGTCATTTACTGAGAGACAAACCGTGAGTTCAATGTTTAACACAATGATGTTTGACCTTAAGTAAAAGAGAGGAATTGTATTCATGTACATCCTCGATAATCTCCAGGGTTAAATCTCCAGTATACCCTGGATGCATCTACGGCTCTGCCCTATGATTGTATTACCTCCCTTGGCTGGCTTTTTATCCAATCAAGCGTCTACGCTAGGAAGTTGAGCGTATCAATCAAAACTCACTTTCGCTTTGTTTCTCTAACCCATTAAATTTGGCTACATAATTGTTGCAAAGGTACACTTAAAAAGCTAGAAAGATCGAGTTCTTGCATATATTTTTTTAAGGTTTTAATTTGTCTGTTTGATTCCCAAAACAGTCTTAGTCGTACTGCGAACAAACCTTCGCCGCTGCGGCCGCTATCTTTGTTGACACTGGCAAGCTCGGTCGTAACGGCGGTTCAACTGGTTGGATGCGGTGAGAATGCAGAGCCAGCAAAGGGAGATAATAAAAGCATCGGACCGAGCCGTTTATGCAACCAGGGTACTAGTGGAGATTTACCGTAACGTATACCCTTGAGATTATCGAGGATGAATCATGTACAGCACAGGAGGCTATTACTGAATAAAATATATTTAGTCAGTGACAATAATTCATTCAAAACTTTGAAGTTAAAAGCTCTAATGTAAACAGACATATTTTATCAATAGTAATGTAAATTTTGGATAAAAGCCTTCTTATGAATAGCTTTATACCAGTAAGCAGTAGAAAAAACATAAACTTTAATGAATGGGCCCCTAGGTTATTGGGTAAGTGAGAGGACACCCATGCTCTCATGAATTCCGCTAACATTAACCCACAACTTCGAGGCAAACAGCTTCCATAGAACACTTGCCATATATGGCATGTAAACAATTGCGCCATACATCGAAAACTATCGCACGGGGTGTTGTCCGAACTGTGCATAAGGTATTCGTAAAGAACGCCCCAAGGGACAGAACACTATGGGGTTTGCTTAACATAATGTTCGTCCGGTAGAGAGAACGAGAGTGGATTTAATGCAATATTGCATTAATGCATTCGAACTTTTTAATTTCATATTGTAATGTAAATACGTATTTTTTATTTTTAGAATAAATTATATGGTAGCTTCCATGAGGGTTGATTTAGACAAAACTAACTCGTGACGGGGAATGACAGATTATCTTTCCCTCGATATATTAATTACGTAATTCTCGTGCCTTTGCGAGAAGGTGTGACGTCACAATAATGTTGACGTTTTTAGGCTTCACATGATTTCTAGCAGACGTATTGTATTACGTTGTGATTAATGTGTAACGAATATACATGTGACGTTTCTGTACTTTGAAAGTTGATTGCATTGTCAACATGTTGTAATAATTAGTTGTAGCCCATTCTATTATTGACTGACTATGTTTAATATTATCCCGTGACTGTTGTGTAAGACAGTCTTCGTTTATTGGCACAGGTGTTGTGTTATGTGTGGGTTGGTATCGTCAGCCATTTGCCAAGTGACGTGATTCCCCAACACTCGCGTGTTAATACACGCATGCTCTGTCATCGTAGCTCACGATGTCAGTCACCGGATTGCCTGGTCAAGACCCAATTATTTGCAGACCGTCGTCATAGACTTGTAACAACGCGTTAAACAAACAATCAAACATATGCTGATATTATAGTCGGAGCTGTCAATGAAATCTGCTTTGGTAGAGATTTCGTGTGGATGCCGAACGATTTTTGTCACTTTTACTTATGAACACTTTGACACATGATGACAGAAACGCTTGTGTTTTGAGGAATCATATAAATGTTTGGCACTGATTTTGTTTTGTCTTTGTTTAGTTACGGTTCCAAACTCATGTACATTCTATCTCTAACAACCACAACGTGCGCTAGGCTGGACTTGTGAAACTGGATAAAAATCAAAATGTTCAAATGTGGTGTGAAACTTTTTTGTCACTTATTTACATAAGATGGAATGCAAGTAGTAACCCGCAGAATACCATGGAGCATGCATGAATTATCAACTGCCATTTGTTATATGGGGAATTCATTAATCGCATGCTCTGTGCTAATTTCAGATGACCAAAACGCTGCATTTCTGAGAAGAACACCACAATCCCTGTACAAGGGCCGAGCATCCTCTGTTGTGATCACCAAAAGGTCAAAACTGAGATGTGCAGTTGCCTGCCGAGAAGAACCTCGATGTGCGGCCATGAGTTACACACGAGATACACATCAATGTCAGCTGGTGGGACCATTCAAGGCTAACATACAAGTAGCTTCGGTGGAACTTCTGTTGGTTACACAACGATACTGAACATTCAACCTTACATCCATGTATAGAGGCTGCAAGAGTTGTACGGATGCCATCTGTGGTTCTCAAGGTAGCACAAACACTTGGTCCATTTTAATGTGATTCATGAATACATGCTCATGATGGAGTTTCAATCAATATACTCTACTCTAAGACGAATTCTTATGATTTTGGAAAGGGTTTGGCCACTTTCACTTACGTGGAATTTGTGAGCATATACTTCCAGGGTCTAAACTTGGAATTTGGTTACATGAAAGGACCAATACATTGTTATGGCAGTGGCTTCGAACAGACAACGTTTCCTGCAGAAGTCCCATTCGCTGTCTGGGCTGCATGGCAAGGGAGCAAGGGGCCCGGGCTGGTCATAAAGCTTAACCAGCCTGGCTGTGCAAGGATCACCCGAACCCTTTTTCCTACTTAATATGCACTACTGGAATACAGTAACTGTACATTATTCGACGTGATGTCATTTGTAATGCTAAAATATAATAACATGAATTGTGGTGTTTTCCTTTGACTCAAAAAGGCCGAGAGCCGCGTATGTGCGACAAATTAATCAGATCCTCACAGTGAGAGACGTGTACATGCCCGAGGTAATTAGCAGTTTTTCACAGCGAGAGCTGTATATGTGCGACGATAGAAAGCACCTCATATTTAGCAAAGCTGCACATGTGCGTTCCTACATGTTTATCGCAATATTCTTATTATTTCAACTTATTTAGTGGCACTGAACAAGGATTAACATTTCTTGTTATGATGCTACCCTTAATGTTGATCACAAGAAGTATTTAGAGTGTTTGGATAGCTATTACTACTCATTACCATATATATACTGAGTCAAAAAAGAAACTTCACATTCTTTCTTCAGGGCACTATAAAAGAACAAGAGATGGTAAGATGGTTAGATTGTTATTATTTCATTGCTTAGATCTGTGTGATGTACTCGATACACTGACAGTGCCATAATCAGTTCCATTAGGCTACAGCGCCGTTCCAAAACATGGGTATACAGAATGTTAAGTTACAAGAATAAAAATGCGAAATTTCTCAGTTCAATATCGTGTATGGCCGCTCCGCGCATTCGCCACTGCCAAACAGCGTCACCTCATCGACTGCCTGATGCTTGTGAACACGTGGTTGGGGATTCTGCGCCATTGCTCTTGCAAGCCAGCGCCAAGTTCTGGCAAATTCTGAGGTTGGTTCCCAGGACCACGAAGCCTTCTCCCAAGTGCATCCCAAACGCTCTCTATTGGATTAGAGTCAGGGGACCTCGGTGGCCAGTCCATGGCATTGATTCCAGCGTTTTGAAGGAAATTTTGTGTCAACATCGCGGTATGCGGCCGAGCATTATCATGCTGGAACTGTAGACCTGGGCCATGCACGCCATGAAAGGTACGAGTTCAGGGGTGAGCACCTGGTCGCGGTAAGGTTTCATCGGATGACCAGAAGTTGGGAACGGTTGTTCCAACAGAAAGCACCCCACACCATGCAACTTCCGTCCCCGAATCTGTCGACTTCCTGTACACAGCATTGGGCATACCGTTCACGACGTCGTGTCCAGACTCTTTGCCTGCCGTCCGCAAATCGGAAGGTAAACCTGGATTCGTCGCTAAAGACGACTCGATTCCAGTCTCTCTGGGTCCATCGGAGGTGACGTTTGGCCCACAGCAGACGTTAACGTTGATGAAACGGCATCAATATTGGCCCACGATATCGACGTCAAGAATGGAGATTGGTAACCCGCAACCGATTTCGAATGGTCTGTGAGGACAGTCGACCTTCAGACATCTCAGCCCTGGTTCTTGTAGCCGGCAGAAATCTTTCACGTAGGGGACGTAGGACGATTTGACGGTCTTCTGCTTGTGACGTCACACAGAGTTTTATTCAGTTTTGGGAACTTCACAGAACCTCCGGAGAGGGTAATTTACTGTAAGAAACAAAATCATAAACATTAGAATGACTAGCAGCTCAAATGGTGAAAAATATGGTTTTGAAAAATATGATTGATAAAATAACAGATAATCTGACATGATTTAGGCTTTAAATGATAGAAAATAACATTACATTGATGAGATGGGAAGAATAATTACTTACATGATAGTGATTGACTTGGATATTGCCAGATTGATGACCATGAAGAATTCCTGATGTTTTTTACATGTGTTTTTGTAAAGGGAGGTAACTCTAAAACTACCAACTTGAGCTACCAGCTTGCTAAAAACAAAGGGAAAGAGTGTGGGTTCAAATCCGCTGAACCGCTAACTAGGAAACTATAGTTTTCTTTTCATTTTTTAAAGTTTTTGGTTTTTGTTAAAGAGTTCCTTCACACTCCCCTCCTGATGTTGATGGATATCATCAAAATCACTATGGAACTTTACAGTTGTTGGATAACATCACAGGAGATTGAAGTGAGTATTACACTCATTGGGTTGAAATGAGTAGCACGCAGTCTGTAATTGGTCTGATGTACTTGATCCTCTTGCCCTTCGAGATGACGGCAACTTCGACCTTCCGCACCATACCATCGTCGCTTGGGAAAGTTTGATCAACCAATGCCATTGGCCAGGCGTATCTGGGGGACTGGTTTTCTTTCAACAAGACAAGGTCTCCTTGCACGAGATTTGGTCTCTGTACTTGCCACTTTGGTCTTGTTTGGAGATTTAGAAGGAATTGTGATCTCCACTTACTCCAGAAGATTTCTGCCAGGTGCTGAACACATTTCCATTGGCTTCTGTAAGCCTCCTGGAGGGTCACCTCTGGCATAGGCATATGGCAGCTTGACGATTTCTGTGTGAGGAGTGCGGACGGAGTGAGGATTTCCGGTGCTTCAGGGTCCGATGAAACTGTCGTTATTGGCCTGGAGTTAATTATTGCCGTGACTTCAGCCAGGAAGGTACTCAGGACCTCATGAGTGAGATGTTTGCTTGAAAGGTCCATTAACATTGAGTCCAAGATGCGTCGCGTGACTCCGATCATTCTTTCCCACACTCCACCCATGTGGCTGGAGTGTGGAGCATTGAAAATCCAAGTTGACCCACTGTCACAAAGAAACGTTTTGAATGTAGGCTCTTCAACAAGCACTTCGTTGATTTCAAGTTCGTTCACTGCTCCAATAAAGTTGGTGCCGCGGTCAGATCTGTACTGAAGTACTGGTCCTCGCAATGAGATAAATCTCCGCAGTGCATTGATGAAGGAGGATGTGCTTAGTTCTTCCAAAATCTCAAGATGTACCGCTCTGGAGACAAGACATGTGAACAGCACTGCCCATCGTTTGGCATTCGCAAGACCACCTCTTGTCCGTCGTGCAACTATCTCCCAGGGACCAAAGGCATCCACCCCAACGTACGAAAATGGTGGACAAACTTTCAGTCTGTCGAGTGGCAAATCACTCATTTTCTGCCACTCAAGTTTTCCACGTAGTCTTCTACATGGTATGCATTTGCGAACAATAGAGGCTATCATCCTCTTGCCGCCTATGACCCAGAAACCTCCAGAACGGACTGCACCCTCTGTAAAGTGCCTACCTTGGTGTTTGACGTTGGCATGGTAGTGGCGAATGATGAGGGTTGTGACATGATGTCCTTTGGGCAGGATGATAGGGTTTGTCTCTGAAACATCCATCTTTAAGCATTTCCCGAGGCGTCCTCCAACGCATAGCATATCATTCTCATCTAGTATTGGTGACAAAGCTCTGATCGGACTGGATTTTGGAAGATTCTTGCCAGCTTGGAGGCATTGGATTTCTGAAGCATGCATATCCATCTGTGCTTGACGAATAATAGCGTGTTCAGTTTCTTTGATGATTCCAGGGATTTGCCAGAGTTTACACATGTGCCACCCACGACACTCTGTGGCACCAGAGAATGATCGTGCGACATGTTTGAGGTAGGCTACACTCCTAACGAGGCTGGTCCATGAGGAGAACTTCTCATAATGTTGAGAGAATGATGGATGGCTCACTGAGGTGGAGAGCACAGTGACCGGTTTTACCTCCTTGTCCTCCTCTGGCTGCACAAGTGGGTACTGTGATGTGTTCGTCAGTTTCACACTTTTTGGTCCATTTAACCACGCACTGCCTTGCATACTCCTTGGAATTACACCTCTGGTACCTTCATCAGCTGGGTTCATATCAGTTGAGACGTATGCCCACTGCCAGGGTTTTGTAAAGTCCATAATCTTGTCAACCCTGTTCGCCACGTAGACATAGAACCTTCGTGAATGATTATGGAGGTACCCAAGCACAACTTGACTGTCTGTGTAGAACCTCATGTCTGACGCAGGAATGTCTAACTCCTTCTCGATGATCTGTCCTATTTCTGTTGCCAATAAGGCAGCACAAAGTTCAAGTCTAGGTATCGTGTGTCCATGTTGCGGAGCTACCTTTGACTTTCCAAGAAGGAAAGTGTATCTGCTTTCACCAGCTACATTGTATATCTTGAGGTATGCCACAGCTGATATGGCATCTTTAGAGGCATCAGAGAAGATCTGTATCTCTCTCATTGGCTCTCCCGATGAGTCGAGATCTGCATACTTCCGTCCAATTGAGATGCTGTCTAGGGCTCTTAGTGAGTCTCTCCACTGCTCCCACTCCTGTCTTCGGTTCTCGGGGAGAGGATCATCCCAACCTGTTGTGGTAGTAAACAGGTCTCTGAGTAGAAGTCTACCTTTCAGCAATGCAGGCGACGCAAAGCCAAAAGGGTCGTACAAGCTGTTGATGGTGGAAAGTACTCCCCTCCGTGAGTATTGTCGGATTTCAGTATCTGCACGAAAGGTGAAAGAGTCTAAGCTGATGTCCCAGTATAGTCCAAGACTCTTCTGGAGAGGTGCTGATTCAATCTCCAGTTTAATATCCTTCAGATCCTGGGCCAGGTCTTCATTGTTGAATCGTTTGAGGAGTTCAGGTTTGTTTGATGCAATCTTGTGGAGTCGCAGATTCCCTTCCTGTTTCAACGTCTGCTGAGTACGCTCTAGGAGAGAGGTCGCGGACTCAACATCTGGAAGAGACGTCAAACCATCGTCGACGTAAAAGTTTCGTTTGACAAACTGTTTGACGTCTGGTGCAGCATGCTCAACGGATTTTCTCAGACCATATGTGGCCACTGCAGGAGAGGGTGAATTCCCAAACACATGAGCAGTCATATGGTATTCGATGAGAGGTTTGGTAAAGTCGTTATCCTCATACCACAGAAACCTCAGGTACCTGCGATGTTCCTCGTCAACTTTGAAGGCGTAAAACATTTGTTCAATGTCTGCAGTGATTGCAACGTCATGGCATCGAAACCTCATTAGGACTCCGAGGAGGTTGTTTGTTAAATCCGGGCCGGACATTAAGACGCTGTTCAACGATATGCCATCCTGTTTGGCAGAGGAGTCGAAAACACCTCGAATTTGGCCGGGTTTCCTCTTATTGTACACGCCAAATAAGGGAAGGTACCATGCCTCTTCACCTTTGACCCTAGATGGGGCTTTCTCAGCATGTCCACGTTTGATGATTTTCTCCATGAAGGTTAACATGTGTTCACGTTTTGCCTCATTCATCAACATGCTGTTGTGCAATGTCCTAGCTCTCCTCTCAACTTGAGAGTGATTGTCAGGCAGTTTCTTTCGTCCCTCCCTGAAGGGAAGAGGAGCGGTCCAATTACCGGAATCTGTTTTTCTCATACCTTCTTCCATAAGCACCATGAATTCTCTGTCTTCTCGCGAGAGGCCTGGTTGATTATCTGCTGGGGTTTTCTTGAAGATTTCTAGAGTGTCCTGATCAGATATCTCCGAGACTGTGATGTCGTAGGGGCATGGATTCATCAGTGAAGGTCTACCCGTCTTTAAAGCGTAAATCTTGTTGACGTTCACTTTTGTCTGATGAACTGCACCAAGGCACGCTTCACCTATAATAGTCCATCCTAATGTGAGCTTCTGTGCAAATGGGGAGTTCGCTTCACCGATTCGTTGATCAATCACATGATGTGCGCTAGGCAGATCTCGACCAATAAGGAGGAGGATTTCTGCGTCATTGTCTATAACTGGTATGTCCTGAGCAATGGACTTCATGTGGATGTGATGACGTGCGACATCAGGTGTAGGGATCTCGTTGCGGACATTCGGAATATCCTCACATTCTATGATGGTTGGTAGATCCAGCTGTGTGTTTCCATTCGCTGACTTGATTGCATACCCATGGGCTGACCTACCACAAACTGTGACGGATCCTGAACATGATGATAGTGTGTACTCGACATCGTTACCTCTCTCTCCAAACATGTCAAAGAATTTTGATCGTGCGAGTGTCTGATTACTCTGATCGTCAATTATAGCATACATCCTGACACTTTTATCTGGCTGACCACTTGGATGGATATTGACCAGTATTGTTTTGCCACAAGACTTGCTCGTAGAGTTTGCTTGCCCACAGACCTGAGTACATTTGACTTCTGCTTGTTTAGCCTCTGTACTGTGTTTAGGTGGCGGGTTTCTCTGCGATCTGTCAATATGTGCACTACTGGCCTCACCCGTGTTTAGTCCCACTTGATTTTTCTCTACGTGGAATGCCGTTGGATGAGCCGAGGTCCCACAGACATAGCACTTTACCTTTGCTGTACAAGTCTCATGCTTGAAAGGTCCACAGCACCGCATACACAGACCCTGGTTCTGAACAAAGTCTTTCCTTTCGACAAGCGGCTTTCGTCGAAATTCACGACAGGCGTTGAGGTAGTGCCTAGTTCCATGATACGGACACACTATTGTGTATTTGTAGGTGTCCTCCTCATCAGGTTTGTCCTGGTTACTTTTCAGCTCTGTCTTCACCGCTTTGACTTGACCGATCGGTCGACGAGAGCGTGTACTGCTGTGCATTTGACCTGAGGGTTGAGTGGTGGTTACAAACCCTGGATCGTTCCTCATTTTGGCCATGTTCTTGATAAAGTTCACTAAGAATGAAAATGGGGGAAATGCAACTTTATGGTTCTGCTTGTAGTTGAATGCCTGTGTTACCCATTTGTCCTTGATATTCCTAGGTAGTTTTTCCACTAAAGGGTTTATGCCTACTGAGCAGTTGTAGTAGGACAACAGGTTTGCATACCTTGTATCACACATGTATGACTCGATTTCCTGGACAATGTCAAGCAGATCATACAGCCTGTCATTCTCTCTATCGTTCAGTTCCCTGAAGTTCATTACCTTCCTATCAAGGGCAGCTTTTATATTCTCTGGTGACCCATATATTTCATTGAGTCTCTCCCACACTTGATCGACTCCCCGCTGGGGGTCGCGAGCATTGGCACTCTTAATGCTCCGCGCATGAGTAGAGGATCTTGGACCCAGCCACTTAATGAGGAGATCAATCTCGTTGGGTGCTTCTATCTCTAGTTCCGTGATGATATTTGTGAACGTCGACTTCCAGGCATCGTAGTCTTCTGGACTGTCTGTGAACTTTACAAGCCTCGAGAGAAGTAGATCTTTCCTAACCATGAACTTTTGAAAGTCCACACACATATTCATGTATGTTGGCTGTTGGGGGTGATATGGTTGGGCCAGTGGGTTTAGATTGAGAACGCGACTTGAGGTGGGAGTTTGGTGCAATGGTGTCGAAGCTTGGTATGATTGCATCGGAACTTCGCATGATGGAATCCGGGGTTCGCTCATCGGTTTCGTTGTGATAGAGTCAGTGTCTGAGAAGTCAAGACTGGATTCATCGATACTGGAGTCCATGATTTGTTCGATGGTCCTGGCTGCAGCCTCTTCCTCGTGGTACTGTCCCTTCAGGCTAAGCAACTCCAGCTTAGTCTGAAGAGCAGCCTGCTCTTGTTTGAGAATGGCTTCCTTCTCAGCATACTCTATTTTAACCTTTAGCTGCTCTGCCTTGGTCTTGTGGGAGATTAAATCAGCAGTTATGTCATGTCCTACTGAACAAAAGCTTCTCTGCGATGATGTATCTGATTCATAGTTGCGCTGTGGCTGTGTATCTATTTGGGCAGACTTGACAGTTTGTATTATTTCTAACACAGTGTCGGTCAATTTCCTGGAGAATAGCCTCTGTGTGGAAAGCTCACGTTCACTATCAATAGTTCTCATACCTTGCAGATAGTTTTCAAAGTCACAACACACATCCTCATGTTCCATGAACAATTTCTTTAAAAGGGGAACATCTTTCTCAAATTCTGGGGATGTATTGGCAATTTTCTCAATATCCTGTCTTAGTTTCAACAGTTTGTCACAATAGTACTGAACTCGAGCATCATATGCTGCTTGTCCCTTTTCTGTGAGCTTGACAAGACGTTTATTTGGCATAACTGCTGTATCTTCATTTGACTCTGTTTTGACATTGCTGGCCATGATTTCTGGCTTGTTTTCCAACAAAGCTTGTATCATTAAATTACTGTGGTGTTTTCAGAGTTTTATTCAGTTTTGGGAACTTCACAGAACCTCCGGAGAGGGTAATTTACTGTAAGAAACAAAAAATAAACATTAGAATGACTAGCAGCTCAAATGGTGAAAAATATGGTTTATTGATAAAATAACAGATAATCTGACATGATTTAGGCTTTAAATGATAGAAAATAACATTACATTGATGAGATGGGAAGAATAATTACTTACATGATAGTGATTGACTTGGATATTGCCAGATTGATGACCATGAAGAATTTCTGATGTTTTTTACATGTGTTTTTGTAAAGGGAGGTAACTCTAAAACTACCAACTTGAGCTACCAGCTTGCTAAAAACAAAGGGAAAGAGTGTGGGTTCAAATCCGCTGAACCGCTAACTAGGAAACTATAGTTTTCTTTTCATTTTTTAAAGTTTTTGGTTTTTGTTAAAGAGTTCCTTCACAACGTCATTTGCACGACGAATGGATGGGTTTGAGTGGGTTTTGCTAACGTTTTTCTAGAGTCGAAAGATTGGGATCCCCTTTCGGATACATAGATGTATCATCAGAGAAAAATTATTCATTATTTTACAAATTACATTTTGTGAAGTTTTTTTTTCGACTCAGTATACATGCATGTGGGCTAGAAAGAGGATTATGAGATGTTTTTTACAGAGGTATGTTTTGGTATTCTTCATTGGGAATGGATACTAAAATACTTTTTATGCATATATTGATTTAATTAGATGTAATGTGTTTTAGATCGTGAGAAGACTTGGTTATGCCTGTACCTTCTCAGAAGTATAAAATACTTGATCAAAGCTAGAGATTCACTGACAGATCTTCTGTGAGGCCAAGTCTGTAGTTGTCCAGTTCATCGGGACAAATAAGTCAGGCTATTACAACAATGAGTTGGAGAATCAATCTATCTCTCTAATGCCAGAGTGTTGTTCTTAATTCTTCGATCTCTGATGGGAAAATCATCTGATATTGTGTAACTCAGTAAATGACCCAAAAGTCTTAGCTGATGTTTTTTTCTAAATTCTTCCTTGAAAAGATCGAAAATAATTAGACAACAGCTCAAGCCAGATCACGTCCCACAATCTGGATATTCTCATTTTGATGGTACAAAGCTCGCTCACCAGCTTCAAACAATTCACCGAGAAGGGGGGATCTCTGGTATACTTGCTTCCTCAAAGCCAACGTGGTGCAGATTAGACCCAGTGCCCAACCCACTTGTTGATGGAATGCAAGGAAGAACTTCTTCCTATAATTCGCAAAATTGTACACAGGAACCTTGAACATGATACAGTTCCTGAGGATTTCAAAACTGTTGTTGTCCTTCCCCTCCTAAAGAAACCTACACTCCACCCTAACATCATGAAGAATTAACCTACCATTTGTCTCCAAGATACTGGAAAAAAGCTGTCAAAAAGAGATTGATGGATCATATTCAAGAAGATGGCTTACAAGAAAAGACGTTTCAATCCGCGAACTGAGTCTCTCACAGAACAGAGACCGCTCTCAATAGGGTGGTGAACGACCTACGAACGTACGTTGACAACGGAGATGTCGCCTTATTGATGCTGCTTGATCACAACATCTTGCTAACACGTCTCTTTAATGAGTATGGAATTGGAGGCACTGCACTTCAGTGGGTTTCATCTTACCTGACGAACTGAAAGCAGAGCGTACTGATCCACTTGTCATCATCAGTCGAAGTACTCCTGTCCTGCGGAGTACCACAGGGCTCAGTTCTTGGATCACTGCTCTTCACAATGTACAACCAACCTCTAGGAGAACGAATTGCAGTGAATGATGTAGCTTATCATTTCTCTGCAGGTGATGCACATCTGTATAAAAACATCCCTTTGAAACCAGATAGTCAAGCTGACACAATGTCGGAGGTGGAGTGCCGCATCACGTCGGCAAACTCCTGGATGACAATGAACATGTTGATGGTAAACGAGGAAAAGACCGAAGACATACTATTTGGCCCAAAGACAAGCATCAGTTATGCTCAGAATGTGAGTGAGTGAGTGAGTTATTATTTAACGTCACATCGGCAATATTTCAGCGATATAGTGACGAGAAATGTTTTATATAAACAATATATTAAAGTTGCTAAATAATCAGTCATCGAAGGACTGTAAAATAACTAGAGTATCACAGATGGATTCTAACACTAGCATGAACATGTATAATTATTTTATTTATGAAGACAATACAATATAAAAACGGGCTATAGATCGCCAACAGCTGAAGTTAGATAACCATACTAGGAACCATGGGGACTTACATTACTTTTGATACCTGCATGGATCCTAGCTGGATTTACACCATCCCTTCAGCAGCTGGCGATTGTAGGAAAAATTAGCCAACAGTTAAAATAACAAAAATACTACGTTTAAAATGGGATAATTTATATTTGACTTTGAAAGTTTTGGGACTTACGTACCCTCTCAGGAGGACAATAATTTTACGCTACTTCAACCCCCTTCGAGGGTACAGCCACTAACAATCTCAGTGACTAATTTAAATTACCAATAATAAAATATTTATCTATTTACAAATCAGTTAACAAATCTAATTCTTTTAAAAATTCAACTATTAAATGATAATTAACATTATAAAAAGATCCTTCAATGTTTTGACATTAAAATACTTATCCCTTGGGATGGAATATTCAACACAGTCCAGCAGGACATGTTTGACCGTTATTCTTTCATCATAAGGGATACAAAACGGAGGATCCTCACCTTCAATAGGTATTCATGAGTGTATCTTGTGTGGCCAATACGACATCGTCGTATGATGACCTCTTCAAATCTGGACTGACAAC